AAAAAAAAATTAACACACATACTGTATGTCTAATAAATCAACCAGAATACAGAATACAATGGATGGGAAACGTTATTTGCACACACTGCGGGAAAGCATTTTTTTTTTATTTTAAATGAAGCACCTTGGGTTCAAAATCTCAATCTGAATTTTTGGAAACTTAAACTCCAGATTTTTAAGGGATCGTTGGACATCCCTGATAATACACATCTAAGAAATGTAATGTATTGAAGCTGAAAACAGAAGATACATTTACGAGTTCCCTCCTGCTTTGGACTTGGATGCATGGTGGAGTTGACGAGGCATCAAACATATTAGGCCTGTCGCGGTGATTGTATGTTCCCTGCATAGATGTGCAGTGACTCAACAATATGTTGCGCGGCCTTTTACATGGGCTGACACATCCCCTTTGGTGATAGTGCGCCATCAAGCACAGCAAAACACGTGCGGCGCTCCCACTATTTGAGCGGCATTGTGGCCGTGGCACTGACATGAATGTGACAATGGCCGTATTGTTGAACGGTGCTGTTCAATTGTATGTTATCAACTAGGCTTTGACAACCATTGAAGGCAAACCGTTGGTTGAGATACTCCTGATTTGGTTGGATATAAAGGTTTAACCTAAAAATAAGTCTTCACTGATTCTCGATTTATCGCGGTTCCAAGGCCTGCCGCCAGAACTGAATTTCCGCCAAGTAGTGACACCATATTTATGCGCAGTAAAATGATGATGATGACTTTGATTTTACATCTCTTCAGAGGGTGGTGCCAATTTCTTGGGGCACCTCTTCCACGGTTTCCGAAGGTGTATCCGCAGTAGTAGCAGGAACCAGGCTTTCTACCCATTCGAAAAACGTTTGGAAATTTTTTACGTTAAAAAAGGAAAACGGGATAAAACTCATTAGGGATTTTTCACACTCACAATGTGATCAAGTGAATTACTGGTTATCCAATTCAGGGTCATGTTGGAAGCTAGAGCCAATCCCAGTCCATTCTCCGGTCTATCACAAACTGTATAAACAAGCATTCACACCTTTGACCAATTCCACCATGTTGCCCAAAAAAAAAAAAAAACATGAATATCATACGAAACGTATCCCTGTTACAACTGCATGTGAAAAATCCAACGGTTGGTGCCTGTGTCATGAGCGTCAGGGCCACCTAAGTTCTCAGACTGAATCAAGGACTTGATGACATCACTGTCACACTGATAATCCCCAAAGCCTGGCTCCAAGGAATGTGAGCACACACACATGCCTATGTGACCTCATTCACTATGCAACCTGATGTGCATTCACAATAAATGTTTCAGTAACAGCCTCTGAAGGCCTGTGTGCCTGTGAGGGAGTGGGAGAGAGAGCCAGAAAAAAGAGAGAGAGACTGTTTGCCATGTTTTATTTTCTCATAGGGGCAACAGCACTAAAACAGATCGAGTTGATTGGACTGGAAAGGCGTGAGACATGAGAACGACAAAAGACGGAGAGAAGAGGATGAAGAAGATGGAGTGATATGTAGTGAGGCATAGACAGATAAGGCAGTGCAGAGGCAGAGACTGGGCCAAAGGATAAGGAAGAATTATTGTAAAAAAAAAAAAAAAAGAAATTGGCCACAAGCTTTTATGACATATACTCTGGTCTTTTCACTGCGAAGATAGGAGCCGTGTTCATTTACTGGAAAGAAGCGAAGTGCACTATCATAATGAAGACCAAGTCGAAGTTGCACTTCACATTACATATAAAGATCCAGTGTTTCTTTTTACCAATAATATATTATGCTTATGTGAGTGTGGTCTTTCTCTAAAGGACATATTTTTTTTTTTTTTTTTTTTTTAAGTTTGTCTTATATGAGGAAGAAGTGGGTTTGGTACTGCGTCTTGATCAGGTAACGTAAATATATAAATATATGTTTATGTGTACGTATAGTGGGGGGGGGGGATTAGCTCAATAGCTCGCTTAGCATGTGAAAGGTAGCGCGGGATTAACCACATGTTAACCACCTTTGTGGTTCTGAAGTTCGAAAAGCGTCAGTCTGTGTCAGTTGCAAAGCCTCATACTTTTGTGGTTCGGTCGTTCGAAAAGCGTCTGTGTCTGTGTCAGTTGCAAAGCCTCATACTATATATTTACATATATAAACATATGTATATGTAAACATATATGTACATATATGTATTACATATAATCATGTAGTACGTAAACACCTGCAATACACACATATATGCATATACACATATATGTGTATAGCCCATATATGTATATACATACAGTATTTCCGCATAATTGCAATATAATAAATTGTAACAAACCTTTTAGCACAAAAGACATTTCGTTGGACAATGTCTTGAAAGCATTCACTGGACGTCCAAAAATCTCATCTCGTCTACTGTTATCCCGCTTGTTTACCTTTTGTCATCCCCATATATATATATGCACATACTTCTTACACACACATGCATGTGTGTGTGTGTCATACAGTAGGACTTATGGTAACAGGTACAGCTGCACCCTTTAGGAGAAGTGTGGAGTAAATCCCAGCAGAAAGGCCAAGAAGTGTTCACATGTGTGTGTGTGTGTTTTTTTTTATATATATATATATATACCTCATCCCTCTTGTATAGACATCCCCTCTATGAGTCAAGTCAACTCTAGGTTAGTGCACTGCCTGCTTATATCCCACATCACTGCATACCCAGACATGATGTTCAATCAATGGCAGATGAAAAGAACGAGCCAAACGCTGAAGTAACGCGGGGGAAAAACCTTGGGGGGAAATTCCTCCGAGTGAGCTATGAAAGTCAGATTATACACACACACACAGACACAGACACGGATACACACATGCTCTCGCATGTTCCAAATGTTATATGGATGACCGAAAGCTGCAGACACTTAAGGCTGAGGGATAACAAAAAAAAAAAAAAAAAAAAAAAAAAAAAAGGACAGTGACTCAGCAAAAGTCAAACACCAGCGTCTAAAGTCGAACTGTAAATATCAGTAAAAACAATACGACCGAGTATCGACTCATCGTACGAGATTTCTTATTAATTCATTTCATATAAAAGGAGGTTTTCTTTTCACACAATTGCAACATCATCTGATTATTCATAGGGCAGCATTAATCATCACGATTAATTGTGTTTAATCACAATTAATCATCATAAGCAGATATAAATGAACATCCATAAATATGACCAAAAAAAAAAAAGAAATAGAAATAACTGATGGTTAATGTATGTGTTTTCAAATATATACCTACTTTTTTATGTCAAATCATTGAAGCTACTGTATAACTGTCCAACACACAGCAACCTTTTATGGTTTTTTTTTAATCACCAAAGACCTTATAACACACTGAATAAGGAATAAAACTGCACACACACACACTTGATTCTGATTGATTTGATTTCCCTCCCAGACAAAGTGTTTTGGTGAGTGTGCCTCGAACGGCTCATAGAGTGATTCTTAATGAACGCTTGAATGCCTTACTTCATACACCATTTCAGAGTTGACTGACTGGGGAGACAACTGTCAATGAAACACAGGCCGCTTACCTCCTCACTATTATCTGTTCGTATGATTCAGTGGGAGGTTAAATAGTTCTGGGCTGCCGTCTTCCAGGTTGCAACCTGATACACTGGTATTTTCATAGACCTCTGCCAAAAGCTACACTTTTTGCATGTGCGAGTGTGTGTGTGTGTGTGTGTGTGCCACGTTTGGTAATCAAAGATACCATAACACTATGACTTAAACCTCAGGGCCAAGTGAAAAGTAAGCAAAAGTGAGCACCTGCAGGAAGTCAGATAGGGAAGGAGGCTCCAGGAACGGGATGATTGCACTGCAGCAGAGCTGCAATGATGAAGCCTCCCACTCTACACAAGCCCAGAGGTACCATCATGTCCTGCAATACAGCATTTTTTTTTCTTCTTCCACATTTTATGACAGCTTTTTCAACCACTTTATATAATTTGACTTTCCTCCTCGATGTGCTTACTCTATTGCTCCATTCCAACCTTAGACCAAATCATACATAAGAAACCGACATGGCTAACGCTGTTTTATTGTCCAGTAAAGTTTCTGTAGTAAAGCAATGGTACTCATGACGTACTATCATACGCTAACACATTACTTCTTAATAGTTTACTCAACTTTGGGGTATTTCTTTTTTTTTTTTTTGCGATAATGTGAGCAAATGAACTCCCATTTAGAAGAAATTAGACAACAAAGCATGACAGGAGCCAACCCCCGATTTGAAGAACTAGGTTTCTCGCAATGCGATTCCTTATGGAAGGTCCAAATGTCAATCACTTGCAGCGTGCTGTTAATTCCCTTGTGTCAAATGTCTGTTTAAGCAAATTGTTATTTGCAAAAATTTAACTTAACTGAGTGACGAGTAGGCTACATTTTGCGTAAACTTCACGCCGCTACTTTGTCAGTACCTGTAGCTCAACGTCTTTGGTACCGGATCCAATTCAACTGTCCTTTTGCTAACGGTCCCTGGCCTCTGACTTCAAATCCCGAGGTCCAATTTCCATCTCTTACTCACTTGTGTTTTATCACTTTTCTAAGACAGGGGACTGTACACTCTGAGTCTGAATCTGATTTCTCTTGTTCTGCACTTGACGTGATTTTCATTTCATAGACAAAATTGATAACTGAAACGTCAAACGTGCTTCTGCAGCTTCACCTCAGCTAACTGTGACGCTAACTCCATGTCTTGCTCAAGAAAACGTACTTTTTGATCAACCTGTCATTCAGTATGACCCAAACCACAAAGTGTCACTATAAGCAATAACCTAGTGCCACAACTCAAATTAAATCTGTAATCATTGTCATGATCTCAACAAGTGCAACAGATATATTATACATGGTAATAAAACAATAAACAACCCATAAAGGCATTTCTCATGCACTGTTTGAACGGGACCCTCGTTGCAATCATCAATGCACATTAATGCCCCCCCATCAGTACCACAATGAACAAGGTCATTCATGAAATCACCTCACCGTCTCGCCTGAAGTTTCCTCTCATCACTCTGGCTGAGGAGACCTGAGCCACCGCCACTTCACTGACGGTCCCTAAAAATAAAACCATCGACATCTGGAGAAGCAGCGGTCCATACATAGTCACGGTAAAAAAGAAAAAAAAAAAAAGTAAAAAAAAAGTTAATAATTCACTCTGCGGTGACTTTTAAGACCGGATGATTCAATTCAAAAAGCCCCAGGATGGAAGAATAAATAGTTTTCAGAGCCAACTTTTCCTGCAGTAACTTCTTTAGGCTTTCATGTCCTGCAGTCCGCAGACACTTGTTGGACTCACTGATTCTCACCGCGTCCCGCACTGGGGCCGAGTTTCCCCGAAGTTCGTGCTTCTCCTGAAAGTTCAGAGGCTCAGGTGGAGGGTAATATAGCAGCCTTCACGGTCACAACCGGGACTGTAGGCGCCGAGCTCTTTATCGCTGTGCGGCAAGAAAACATTCTCCACAAGTCACCAGCAGATAGTCCGCATTGTTTCACGCGTCACGCGTAAAGACGGCCGACAGTCCGTGCCAGCCCTGCTGAGCGCAGTGTGTCTGCGTGTGTTGTGCGTGTGCGCGCGAGGGTGAATTGAAACAGAAAGTTGAAGGGGCGGGTCTGGAAGAGATGGGGGAATCAATCAATATCTGTCTGTCTGTCTGGTTTGTTTTCCATTTCTCCTGTTTTTATTTCTTCCCATTTTTCTTTCTATCCGTCTTTGTTGATCAGTATCTTTCTTTGTTTCGATCTTTGTTTTTAATCTCAATTCTATTTGTTTCATTGTTGTGTTGTCCG